ATAACATGCTATATAATATAAACGAAAAACATTGAAAAAAACAAAGCGCTAAATATACTAATTTCGAACACTCTACAAAAAATACGAAAAGCACTGTATTTAAAACTATATAGAGTACAAAGTAAGTTCAATCTATAACATGCTATATAATATAAAGGAAAAACATTGGAAAAACTAAAGCGCTAAATGTACTAATTTCGTACACTCTACAACAAATACGAAAAGCAATGTAATTAGAACTGTAGAGCACAAAGTAAGTATAAACTATAACATGCTACATAATATAAACGAAAAACATTGAAAAAAACAAAACGCTAAATATACTAATTTCGAACACTCTATAACAAATACGAAAATCACTGCAATTCGAACTATATAGAGCACAAAGTAAGTATAATCTATAACATGCTACATAAAATAAAGGAAAATAATTGAAAAAACAAAAGCGCTAAATATACTAATTTCGAACACTCTACAATAAATACGAAAAGCACTGCAATTAGAACTATATAGAGCACAAAGTAAGTATAATCTATAACATGCTATATAATATAAACGAAAAACATTGAAAAAAACAAAGCGCTAAATATACTAATTTCGAACACTCTATAACAAATACGAAAAGCACTGCAATTAGAACTATATTGAGCACAAAGTAAGTATAATCTATAACATGCTATATAATATAAACGAAAAACATTGAAAAAAACAAAGCGCTAAATATACTAATTTCGAACACTCTATAACAAATACGAAAATCACTGCAATTAGAACTATATAGACCACAAATTACGTATAATCTATAACTATGCTATATAATATAAAGGAAAAACATTGAAAAAACAAAAGCGCTAAATGTACTAATTTCGAACACTCTACAACAAATACGAAAAGCACTGTAATTAGAAGTATAGAGCACAAAGTAAGTATAATCTATAACATGCTATATAATATAAAGGAAAAACATTGAACAAACAAAAGTGCTAAATGTACCAATTTCGTACACTCTACAACAAATACGAAAAGCACTGCAATTAGAACTATAGAGCACAAAGTAAGTACAATTTATAACATGCTATATCATATAAACGAAAAGCATTGAAAAAAAAAAGCGCTAAATGTACTAATTTCGAACACTCTACAACAAATACGAAAAGCACTGCAATTAGAACTATAGAGCACAAAGTAAGTATAATCTATAACATGCTATATAATATAAACGAAAAACATTGAAAAAAACAAAGTTCTAAATATACTAATTTCGTACACTCTACAAAAAATAAGAAAAGCACTGTAATTAGAACTATACAGACTACAAAGTAAGTTCAATCTGTAAGACGCTATATAATATAAAGGAAAAACATTGAAAAAACAAAAGCGCTAAATATACTAATTTCGAACACTCTTCAACAAATATGAAAAGGACTGCAATTAGAACTATATAGAGCACAAAGTAAGTATAATCTATAACATGCTATATAATATAAAGGAAAAACATTGAAAAAACAAAAGCGCTAAATGTACTAATTTCGAACACTCTACAACAAATATGAAAAGCACTGTAATTAGAAGTATAGAGCACAAAGTAACTATAATCTATAACATGCTATAAAATATAAAGGAAAAACATTGAAAAAACAAAAGCGCTAAATGTACTAATTTCGTACACTCTACAACAAATACGAAAAGCACTATCATTAGAACTATATAGAGCACAAAGTAAGTATAATCTATAACATGGTATAGAATATAAACGAAAAACCTTGAAAAAAACAAAGCGCTAAATATACTAATTTCGAACACTCCCCAACAAAAACGAAAAGCACTTCAATTAGAAGTATATAGAGCACAAATCAAGTATAATCTATAACATGCTATATAATATAAAGTAAAAACATTGAAAAAACAAAAGCGCTAAATGTACTAATTTCGAACACTCTACAACAAATACGAAAAGTACTGTAATTAGAACTATAGAGCACAAAGTAAGTATAATCTATAACATGCTATATCATATAAACGAAAAGCATTGAAAAACCAAAGTGCTAAACGTACTAATTTCGTACACTCTACAACAAATACGAAAAGCACTTCAATTACAACTATAGAGCACAAAGTAAGTATAATCTATAACATGCTATTTAGTATATACGAAAAACATTGAAAAAACAAAGCGCTAAATATACTAATTTCGAACACTCTACAACAAATATGAAAAGGACTGCAATTAGAACTATATAGAGCACAAAGTAAGTATAATCTATAACATGCTATATAGTATAAACGGAAAACATTGAAAAAACAAAAGCGCTAAATATACTAATTTTGAACACACTACAAATAATATGAAAAGGACTGCAATTAGAACTATATAGAACACAAAGTAAGTATAATCTATAACATGCTATATAATATAAAGGAAAAACATTGAACAAACAAAAGTGCTAAATGTACCAATTTCGTACACTCTACAACAAATACGAAAAGCACTGCAATTAGAACTATAGAGCACAAAGTAAGTACAATTTATAACATGCTATATCATATAAACGAAAAGCATTGAAAAAAAAAAGCGCTAAATGTACTAATTTCGAACACTCTACAACAAATACGAAAAGCACTGCAATTAGAACTATAGAGCACAAAGTAAGTATAATCTATAACATGCTATATAATATAAACGAAAAACATTGAAAAAAACAAAGTTCTAAATATACTAATTTCGTACACTCTACAAAAAATAAGAAAAGCACTGTAATTAGAACTATACAGACTACAAAGTAAGTTCAATCTGTAAGACGCTATATAATATAAAGGAAAAACATTGAAAAAACAAAAGCGCTAAATATACTAATTTCGAACACTCTTCAACAAATATGAAAAGGACTGCAATTAGAACTATATAGAGCACAAAGTAAGTATAATCTATAACATGCTATATAATATAAAGGAAAAACATTGAAAAAACAAAAGCGCTAAATGTACTAATTTCGAACACTCTACAACAAATATGAAAAGCACTGTAATTAGAAGTATAGAGCACAAAGTAACTATAATCTATAACATGCTATAAAATATAAAGGAAAAACATTGAAAAAACAAAAGCGCTAAATGTACTAATTTCGTACACTCTACAACAAATACGAAGAGCACTATCATTAGAACTATATAGAGCACAAAGTAAGTATAATCTATAACATGGTATAGAATATAAACGAAAAACCTTGAAAAAAACAAAGCGCTAAATATACTAATTTCGAACACTCCCCAACAAAAACGAAAAGCACTTCAATTAGAAGTATATAGAGCACAAATCAAGTATAATCTATAACATGCTATATAATATAAAGTAAAAACATTGAAAAAACAAAAGCGCTAAATGTACTAATTTCGAACACTCTACAACAAATACGAAAAGTACTGTAATTAGAACTATAGAGCACAAAGTAAGTATAATCTATAACATGCTATATCATATAAACGAAAAGCATTGAAAAACCAAAGTGCTAAACGTACTAATTTCGTACACTCTACAACAAATACGAAAAGCACTTCAATTACAACTATAGAGCACAAAGTAAGTATAATCTATAACATGCTATTTAGTATATACGAAAAACATTGAAAAAACAGAAGCGCTAAATATACTAATTTCGAACACTCTACAACAAATATGAAAAGGACTGCAATTAGAACTATATAGAGCACAAAGTAAGTATAATCTATAACATGCTATATAGTATAAACGGAAGACATTGAAAAAACAAAAGCGCTAAATATACTAATTTTGAACACACTACAAATAATATGAAAAGGACTGCAATTAGAACTATATAGAACACAAAGTAAGTATAATCTATAACATGCTATATAATATAAAGGAAAAACATTGAAAAAACAAAAGCGCTAAATGTACTAATTTCGAACATTCTACAACAAATACGAAAAGCACTGTAATTAGAACTATAGAGCACAAAGTAAGTATAATCTATAACATGCTATATAATATAAAGGAAAAACATTGAAAAAACAAAAGCGCTAAATGTACTAATTTCGAACACTCTACAACAAATACGAAAAGCACTGCAATTAGAACTATAGAGCACAAAGTAAGTATAATCTATAACATGCTATATCATATAAACGAAAAGCATTGAAAAAACAAAAGCGCTAAATGTACTGATTTCGAACACTCTACAACAAATACGAAAAGCACTGCAATTAGAACTATAGAGCACAAAGTAAGTATAATCTATAACATGCTATATAATATAAAGGAAAAACATTGAAAAAACAAAAGCGCTAAATGTACTAATTTCGTACACTCTACAACAAATACGAAAAACACTGTCATTAGACCTATACAGAGCACAAAGCACTACCAAAAAAACTGTTTTCTATTACGGCCGGAAAATCGTAACAAAAAGCCATATTTCGTGCAATTTGCGTATTTGCTACGCCTTTGTTACGACTTTTTTCCGTAATGTGTACTCGCGTAACGAATGTTTTTTGCCACGCCACTTTTCGTAACTATTACGATCGGTCAACGCTCCCTGAAGTATGGTATTTGTTACGATGTTTGTTATGACTTTTCTCTCGTAACGAAAGGTAGATCCATCCGCGCGTGTGGCAGGACTTTTAGTTACGGTATTTGTTACGGAAGTTCCTCGCGTTACAAGTGTTTTCCATTGACCGGTTGTCAGAACTTGGTTTTTGTTACGACTATTTGTAACGGCATTGAACCCCGTAAAAAAAATATTACCTACTTATAGTCACGAAACCGTCTGTAACAACAAATATCCAAAGACCACTTTTTGTTACGATTTTCTGGCCTTTTGTTACGGAAAAATAGCGTATTGTGAAAAACAGGGGGTACGCTGCAATTGAAATTGTTCGTAGCAAATGGACCTGCTGTGATGCGTATGATACGAAAATAAATTACGAATACAAAGATTGCTATAAACATCATCATCATTACGCCCCGCGCAAACATTAATTCATATTAAAATCTGAATTCCATACCTACCAACAAAGTAAAGCAACCCATAGAACAAGCCTACTAGTATCTACACATCAACAACCTGTTCCGCAAAACGTGCTTAACAGTTCAAACACAAGTAAACAACGCAATAAGCAAATACGGTTATCCATCAATCCCATTAGGCACATTTTTCACCATACGAATTCAAACCACAAAGGTCTACGCATCAATTCCAGACATAGTTCAACAAAAACTCAACACAATCCATCCAAAGACAGGTTCGACATTCAATCCATATGACAAACGGGGCAATTAACATGGGTGTATCGGTACCAACATTTCAAGCCCGGCGCATGAGCTGCAATTGCCAACACAGAGATTACTTTAAGTCATACTTCTTATAAATTTCGGAAGGCAATACAAGAAAGGTATTAAAGTAGATCCTTACGTCCTTGTAGCTCCACTCAATAGGATCTTCGCCGACGACATCGCGAAGGGTAGTCGCCCCAGAAATGGTCGGCAAAATAAGGGGTGTGTCCGGGACTGACGCGGATGTCACGAAGACCTTGACCAAGGAAAGTGTGTCACCTACAGCATTCACAAGAGCAATTTTTGATTACATTCAAGCATATATATCAACAGACGTTCGAACTGTATATATAACATGTCATAACACAGACATTATAAGTGTAATACTTTGGAACTAGAACAAGAGGAGTACGTACATTCAGACATGTCGTACAGTACATGGTATTACATTCACGAGTTAGGTAGCGAAGCACATTATACCCTAATTTCCTATGTAATTGCAGCTTGATCTTTAAACCAAACATCCTTCAATAAACATGGGTCGTCATAATAGCAGTTATTTTACCACCCCTACATTAACAGTCTACATCGCTTTGGAAATCCACGGATCGTATCATTGTATACTTCTACACTTAGTGAATCCATGCTAATACGCAATATGAGGCCTGAACAGTCACGAAAACCTACGATATCTCGCTGAGGCATATTAAAAGTTTAATTAAACATCCTCAAAGATACCGGACCAACATGGCCCAGGGGGGCAGAGCAGAAGTCCCTCTGCAACAACTTTTTTCTCACCGGTGCGGGAAAATAGAAGCACATGTGTGCCGACCTACAACAGACAGGGCATATGAGTTGGATAAGGTAGTACGCAGTCAAGAGTAGCCTAAATTAGACACTGCACTGATTTCTAAGAAACTCCAGGACGTCACGGAATCATACCGTCATGCTTGGCTCGGACACAGGCCTGGGAATCTCAGGGACTGAATCAATACGAGATGTGCCCTATCATATAACATGCCGATCATGGTAAATTCCTTCGCCATCCAAATCTCATGGGATACTCATACCAAACAGGTCAGGGATTATGAATACTTACTGCCTGGCCAGTAACCGCTCCGGAGTTTCTGTGCATGAATGCATACACATCAGCCTTGATGGTTTTGAACTCATCCATCATTGCCTTCAGCTCCTCCATTCCATTCTGTAGTTGTTCCCACCCATGCTGGAATGCTACACTGTCTGTTAAACCAGTTGACTCGCTGCGGGGATGAGCTGAACTTGCCGCACTGTCGACCTTTGACCGCTTCTTAATCTTTCCCCCAAGGGCCCGTCGGTACAGAGTCTCCCGAACAGAGGGAGTCCGCCCTTCAGGGGGAACCTTGTTTAGCTCATTCTGTAAATAAGTCTGCAGGAAAGATTTAAGTGAGGCCGAACTTGCTCTTGTTGTTAGAGATGTAAATACTGACTGAATTGTAACTAAGTTGGGAACGAATTTATTCTACCAATATCTCCTCGGTTTCTTGGTCATCCTTTCCCTTGCCTTGTGTGCGACTGGAAATCCAAATCTCCAGATTGTCGGGGTCCTTCCCCTTTGCCTTGATCTGCAGCAATACAAGGCCTTCTGTCATCGAAAACATAATGAAATACAGGAGAGGAAAATATGGGGATGGAGCATGACATGACTAATTACTTAATTGTAATAAAAGGTACCTCCTCTGCCAGAGTCGTGAATGACTTCCGCCCAGTACGATGTGGAAAGCTTCTTTTCGCTACGTTCGACGCATTTTTCTTGGATTGAAGCTACGTCAATCAAAGTTATTTAGTTCTCAGTCCATGCCCGTGCAGATTTAACGTATATTAATTTGGCATGTCCCTATGCGTACCTTCACCTTCTCGTCGCGCCAATACTCAACCAACTTCGGCCACTGATCGGGCACAATCCTGCTTGAGGGAACCTTCTTCAGTGCTTCTTCATCGTCCTCGATCGGATTGAAGTAAGTTGATTTGATGCTGTATTTCCAGTGCCTCCAAACTTCCCTTAGGTCAGCCAAGACCACTTTCTCTGCTGAGTCTGGTAATCCGCTGTTGCTCTGGAATGCCGTTTCACACGGTTTCCACCAGGTCCGGAGAAGATGGTAGGGCCATATATAAGAATCTATATGAAATAAAAGAACTTTCAATTTAATGAAGTATGCATCACCTGAACCTCCATCCATGCACCCTGTCTCTTCGTCTCCGGTATCTCAGCGAACGTGGGGTAATGTAGAGGAAGTCGAGCTCCGTTGCGTGCAATGACCCCAATGGCTGTCTTGTACTCGTTTACGTCGGGTCCGACGATGCTTTTACCATCCGGCGATGTGAATACAAGCATCCTGTGATCTTTTCCCCATCCACGCGGCATTCGTGCCGCCCCTCTCCCCTGCTTTTTCTTTGACGAACCAGCTGACACAAATAGGAGATTACATGTTCTAATAAGGATATTACATGCAAAATATGAAGTCACTAAATGTAATCGGTAATCTTTGAAGGCTAATTTCCAAACCGTCGTGCGATGTCATCTCGTCCAATGGTGCCATATTGCCCGCCTCTGTTCCTGTCATCAGAGTGGGGTCGGAGCCTGGCCCTTCATCCAAGAGTGGCATATCACTCTCTGCAGTCTCCATGTCTTGCGTCGGCGGAAGTGTCTCGTCATCTGCTTGTGTGGGGGGGATTGTATCATCGTCATCCTGTGTCAGTGCCGTCGGATCAAAAAGTGATGGAACATCCCTATCATCATGTTCCTGTTGGGGTTAACAGTGTCAGCCTATTGTAGTGTTATACTGAGAGTTCAAATAAGGACATGCTTTCGGCAAAGGAACCACATTACCTCCAAAGGGCCCTCTGAATCCTGAAGCACTGCCCTTCGAGTGGAAGATGTTGGCTTCATGCTTTGACCACGAGCATCGCGCTCTTTCTCCCACTCTGATGTGATGGACCGGAGTCGCTGGAGCAGTGGCGAGACCCGAGATCCCTTCCGTTTTGTCACTTTCTTTGTGGGATTGCGGATGGGCGATGGATTCCTGCTTGCGGGATGAGTTGCCTCTAGGGGGCTGTTACGTGCGGATGCCCGGGTAAAACGTCTTGCGGGAGAGACTGCCGGATCCTGTGACCCTCCAACGGCACCACGTTGAGATTTGCCCATAACCTGCAAGACACCAGTGTTAGTTGGCAGTATGAAAACGTATATTAGGAGAAAATCAAAACACGTTTGTCATATTCTGATATTAATCAACATAAATTCAAGCATGATGGTAGCTCATCCAACACTAAACATACATCCGAAAGATTCCTACCTTCTAAATCATAAAAAATATGAACAAAAAAACTAGGACAGAATGAAGGTTAAACAATCAAGCTACTACATTTCATTAAAAAGATATATAATTGAAAACACAACAATAGGTGACAAGTAGAAAAACAAGAAAAACTCCTCGGCCCACTTAAACATATTACCCTACCGTACAACTATATCAAACATTCAATTGGAGAAAATAAAATTTAAAAATGAAAGAAATTGGATGGAATGAATATAAAAGATAATTTTTTTTTAAAGAACCTCTTTAATTAAACTAATATATACTAAATATATATATCACAAAATTATCTATATATCTTATATATACATAGGAACGCACAGACCCAAACTAAAAGAAACCTACCAAATCCAACCATCCAAAGCCTAAACATGATTACAAAAACCATAAAATCCCAAGCAATTCGGCAACTCAAGCCATACCAACCTCCCACAACTAGACTAGATTAACAACAAACCCACTCCTTGAGAATAAATATCTCCTATAACCAATATTGCACCAATCATCCAATCCATGATCTCCAAACCGCAAACTCAAGCGCAAGGATATAACAAGCCACCAACCAAAAGGAAGAATCAACCAAAGATCACACCTGATATGTTCAATCCTCAATGCAAAGCCAACAATAAAAAAATCTACCTCCAAGAATCAAACTCACAATATCAAAACCAGAGATGAACTTCCACTGCACCTGCCAAAGGAAACAACAAATCAAATAATGGACTGCTTGGATCAATCCAGCCTCCAATTCCATGACTTAAAGAAGCATCAAAATCAAATAAAACAAAAGTCACCAGCAACTCAGAGTTGAGGAGAATACCAGTCTAGATAAAAAAATAATGAAGTGGAATATCAAATGGATGCATAAGAATCCAAGATTCTTCCTTCAATGTTGCACACCCGAAAAACCATGCTGCCAACACCAACTCTGCACACCCCTCGCACTACTCAGTTACCTGGATGACTGTCAATCAAAATCTGATTTGAATAACTTGCCCATGCACCAACCTATTCGATCAAAGACAAACTACCATACACCAATATCAGCCTCCAACTCCATGACTTCAAGAAGCACCAAAATAAAATAAACAGAAGTCATTGGCAACTCAAAACTGAGGTTACTACCACCCAAGATATATGCATGAAACCAACACTTTCCAAGAATGATCACAACCAAATCGAACACAAATCACAACCATCTCACCAAAATTCTCACAATCTAGAGTGACTCAACTGCCACACACAAACAACAAGAAGAGCAACAAAGGCCAACAACCAAAACAAAATGCAGACACCAAAATAAAACAAGCCAGGTGAATGAGACATAAATAAACCAGAACATAGATTAATTGAATCATCAACCACAATCAATTTAAAGCTGAAAATTGACTCACAAGGCTGATGTAAAAATACTTAGAGAAAAATGTTTATGCTCGTTCTCTTATCTTAACTTTTCCAAATTTGCTTTGCTGGTCTAAACCTTCTTCTTTTTAATTTAGCAAACTCCTATCCAAGAAAATAAATATATATATATTATATTTCAAACCTATGGAAGCTACCCTGTAAGAACTGAAGAAAAGAGGAAAAATGCTAGAAGACAATACATGTATAAAGAGAGTAACAAATATAATTCAATAAAAGACTTTAATTTGATGCCATATCACAAGTAAGAAAAAGGCCCGCAGCGAGCTGATTTATTTTGTTATCCAATAAGAAGCCTACAATCTTATCAACTCGGAAGATATATAGAGTTGGTTTTGGATCAAGGGGGAAGAAATTAGCCGAATGAGCAATTGATCGAGCAGGTGGAGTGCAAGCTGAAGAGGCAGTTACGGAAGGGTAAGTTTGGGGATGGAGAGAATACCTACCAAATCAACCCGAACTTCATACTCAACTAACTAGTCAACACCATCAACACCGATGAAAATGAACAATAATGTACATAAAAATGGGGAAACAAATGAGAGGACAAATGACACTTATAGGGCTAGGAGGGTGAGGACACCTTCGCCGTCAAGGGGATAGGTGACCAATTGTCCCTGAAGAGGCATTGGAGATGGCGATTAAAAGTCATGACACCATTGTCGGCGCTCGACTCATAGGGCGAAGGATAGGGAACCTTTTTGATTCTCAAAACTATAAGCGAATCAACCATAACAGATGGTCAACAAAATCGAAGGACATATCGAGTACCAAAATAAGTTGGTGGTGGCTCCTCAACTCAACAGTGGTGAGCTGTGACGGCTGACGAACACCTTCGATTTCACCGGAAGGATGTAGGGCTTCGAAATCGCAATGTCTATGAAGATGAGTGGAATAATTTTTGAAAGTGTGAATATTGTATAACTGAGGATATAAAAAGCATATGTTATTTGTTTTTTTTAATTTATTTTAATATAATTAAAATAAATAATTTTTTTATTAATAAAAATCATTTTTTTTCCTTTTCTTTAAATTTATTTTAATATAATTAAAAAGAATAATTTCAAAAATAAATTTATACACCATTTGTTACGAAGCACAATCGTAACTAATGTTATTTTGAACAAAGTCTACCAACTTCGTTTTTGTTACGGATTATTTTGCGTAATTAAAGAACCAGAAACGTTGACCAAGATAATATTTTTTGGTAACGGAAGTTGTCGTAACAAAAACCATTATTTGTTACGATGTTATTGTAACGAACCGTCAAGCCGTGGCGAAAGACCATTTTTTTGGTAGTGAAGTAAGTATAATCTATAACATGCTATAGAATATAAACGAAAAACATTGAAAAAACAAAAGCACTAAAAGTACTAATTTCGTACACTCTACAACAAATACGAAAAGCACTGTAATTACAACTATATAGAGCACAAAGTAAGTATAATCTTTAACATGCTAGATTCATAAATGAAAAACATTGAAAAAAACAAAAGCGCTAAATGTACTAATTTTGAACAATCTACAATAAATACGAAAAGCACTGCAATTAGAACTATAGAGCACAAAGTAAGTATAATCTATAACATGCTATGTTATATAAAGGAAAAACATTGAAAAAACAAAAGCGCTAAATGTACTAATTTCGAACATTCTTCAACAAATACGAAAAGCACTGCAATTACAATTATAGAGCACAAAGTAAGTATAATCTATAACATGCTATATCATATAAACGAAAAAAATTGAAAAAAGAAAAGCGCTAAATGTATTGATTTCGAACACTCTACAACAAATACAAAAAGAACTACAATTAGAACTATAGAGCTCAAAGTAAGTATAATCTATAACACGCTATAAAATATAAAGGAAAAACATTGAAAAAATAAAAGCGCTAAATGTACTAATTTCGAACAATCTACCACAAATACGAAAAGCACTGCAATTAGAACTATAGAGCTCAAAGTAAGTATAATCTATAACATGCTATATCATATAAACGAAAAGCATTGAAAAAAGAAAAGCGCTAAATGTATTGATTTCGAACACTCTACAACAAATACGAAAAGAACTGCACTTGGAACTATATAGAGCACAAAGTATAATCTATAACATGCTATATAATATAAAGGAAAAACATTGAAAAAACAAAAGCGCTAAATGTACTAATTTCGAACACTCTACAACAAATACGAAAAGCACTGCAATTAGAAGTATAGAGCACAAAGTAAGTATAGTCCATAACATGCTATATCATATAAACGAAAAGCATTGAAAAAACAAAAGCGCTAAATGTACTAATTTCGACCACTCTACAACAAATACGAAAAGCACTGTAATTAGAACTATAGAGCTCAAAGTAAGTATAATCTATAACATGCTATATCATATAAACGAAAAGCATTGAAAAAAGAAAAGCGCTAAATGTATTGATTTCGAACACTCTACAACAAATACGAAAAGAACTGCACTTAGAACTATATAGAGCACAAAGTATAATCTATAACATGCTATATAATATAAAGGAAAAACATTGAAAAAACAAAAGCACTAAAAGTACTAATTTCGTACACTCTACAACAAATACGAAAAGCACTGTAATTACAACTATATAGAGCACAAAGTAAGTATAATCTTTAACATGCTATATTAATAAATGAAAAACATTGAAAAAACAAAAGCACTAAAAGTACTAATTTCGTACACTCTACAACAAATACGAAAAGCACTGTAATTACAACTATATAGAGCACAAAGTAAGTATAATCTTTAACATGCTATATTCACAAATGAAAAACATTGAAAAAAACAAAAGCGCTAAATGTACTAATTTCGAACATTCTACAATAAATACGAAAAGCACTGCAATTAGAACTATAGAGCACAAAGTAAGTATAATCTATAACATGCTATGTAATATAAAGGAAAAACATTGAAAAAACAAAAGCGCTAAATGTACTAATTTCGAACATTCTACAACAAATACGAAAAGCACTGCAATTACAATTATAGAGCACAAAGTAAGTATAATCTATAACATGCTATATCATATAAACGAAAAAAATTGAAAAAAGAAAAGCGCTAAATGTATTGAATTCGAACACTCTACAACAAATACAAAAAGAACTGCAATTAGAACTATAGAGCTCAAAGTAAGTATAATCTATAACACGCTATAAAATATAAAGGAAAAACATTGAAAAAATAAAAGCGCTAAATGTACTAATTTCGAACAATCTACCACAAATACGAAAAGCACTGCAATTAGAACTATAGAGCTCAAAGTAAGTATAATCTATAACATGCTATATCATATAAACGAAAAGCATTGAAAAAAGAAAAGCGCTAAATGTATTGATTTTGAACACTCTACAACAAATACGAAAAGAACTGCACTTAGAACTATATAGAGCACAAAGTATAATCTATAACATGCTATATAATATAAAGGAAAAACATTGAAAAAACAAACGCGCTAAACGTACTAATTTCGAACACTCTACAACAAATACGAAAAGCACTGCAATTAGAAGTATAGAGCACAAAGTAAGTATAGTCTATAACATGCTATATCATATAAACGAAAAGCATTGAAAAAACAAAAGCGCTAAATGTACTAATTTCGAACACTCTACAACAAATACGAAAAGCACTGTAATTAGAACTATAGAGCACAAAGTAAGTATAATCTATAACATGCTATATAATATAAAGGAAAAACATTGAAAAAACAAAAGCGCTAAATGTACTAATTTCGAACACTCTACAACAAATACGAAAAGCACTGCAATTACAACTATAGAGCACAAAGTAAGTATAATATATAACATGCTATATCATATAAACGAAAAGCATTGAAAAAAGAAAAGCGCTAAATGTATTGATTTCGAACACTCTACAACAAATACGAAAAGAACTGCACTTAGAACTATAGAGCACAAAGTAAGTATAATCTATAACACGCTATATAATATAAAGGAAAAACATTGAAAAAACAAAAGCGCTAAATATACTAATTTCGAACACTATACAACAAATATGAAAAGGACTGCAATTAGAACTATATAGAGCACAAAGTAAGTATAATCTATAACATGCTATATCATATAAACGAAAAACATTGAAAAAACAAAATCACTAAAAGTACTAATTTCGTACACTCTACAACAAATACGAAAAGCACTGTAATTACAACTATATAGAGCACAAAGTAAGTATAATCTTTAACATGCTATATATTCATAAATGAAAAACATTGAAAAAAACAAAAGCGCTAAATGTACTAATTTCGAACATTCTACAACAAATACGAAAAGCACTGCAATTAGAACTATAGAGCACAAAGTAAGTATAATCTATAACATGCTATATAATATAAAGGAAAAACATTGAAAAAACAAAAGCGCTAAATGTACTAATTTCGAACATTCTACAACAAATACGAAAAGCACTGCAATTACAATTATAGAGCACAAAGTAAGTATAATCTATAACATGCTATATCATATAAACGAAAAAAATTGAAAAAGAAAAGCGCTAAATGTACTAATTTCGAACACTCTACAACAAATACAAAAAGCACTGCAATTAAAACTATAGAGCACAAAGTAAGTATAATCTATAACACGCTATAAAATATAAAGGAAAAACATTGAAAAAATAAAAGCGCTAAATATACTAATTTCGAACACTCTACAACAAATACGAAAAGGACTGCAATTAGAACTATGTATAGCACAAAGTAAGTATAATCTATAACATGCTATATAATATAAAGGAAAAACATTGAAAAAACAAAAGCGCTAAATGTACTAATTTCGAACACTCTACAACAAATACGAAAAGCACTGCAATTAGAAGTATAGAGCACAAAGTAAGTATAATCTATAACATGCTATATCATATAAACGAAAAACATTGAAAAAACAAAAGCGCTAAAAGTACTAATTTCGAACACTCTACAACAAATACGAAAAGCACTGTAATTAGAACTATATAGAGCACAAAGTAAGTATAATCTATAACATGCTATATTCATAAATGAAAAACATTGAAAAAACAAAAGCGCTAAAAGTACTAATTTCGAACACTCTACAACAAATACGAAAAGCACTGTAATTAGAACCATATAGAGCACAAAGTAAGTATAATCTATAACATGCTATATTCATAAATGAAAAACATTGAAAAAACAAAAGCGCTAAATGTACTAATTTCGAACACTCTACAACAAATACGAAAAGCACTGCAATTAGAACTATAGAGCACAAAGTAAGTATAATCTATAACATGCTATATAATATAAAGGAAAAACATTGAAAAAACAAAAGCGCTAAATGTACTAATTTCGAACACTCTACAACAAATACGAAAAGCACTGCAATTAGAATTATAGAGCACAAAGTAAGTATAATCTATAACATGCTATATCATATAAACGAAAAAAATTGAAAAAAGAAAAGCGCTAAATGTACTAATTCGAACACTCTACAACAAATACAAAAAGCACTGCAATTAGAACTATAGAGCACAAAGTAAGTATAATCTATAACATGCTATAAAATATAAAGGAAAAACATTGAAAAAACAAAAGCGCTAAATGTACTAATTTCGAACACTCTACAACAAATACGAAAAGCACTGCAATTAGAACTATATAGAGCACAAAGTAAGTATAATCTATAACATGCTATATAATATAAAGGAAAAACATTGAAAAAACAAAAGCGCTAA